GATCTGATTTGTATTGCACACGGTTGACAGGGTCTTTTGCTGGAACCAGAGCCAGACTTTGCCTCCTTCCTGGCTCCTGAAGCCAAACTCACTTGTTTTTATGTTCCATGAGCTGTCACTGCTTTTCAGTAAATTTAGCTCTATGAAGTGTTCACCTTTCTTTATTCTCAAATTTACTCTATGCTTTCTGGACTAGTGTTGCATTTGCTGGTTTTAAAATCTTGGAAAATGGTAAATGATACATTGTGAATTATTTATATCAAGCTCTACTTGGATGGAAAATGGAATGGAATAAAGTATACCAAGCTAGCACTATTTTTTAAATACAATTACTTATTTCAGAGCACAAAAATAAAAATGTGCTTCCTATTTAGAATCAACCAGCTCATTATTAAAAATAATAGCAGTGAATTGCAGTATTTCTGTTGATTTCTTTCTCCAAGACTTCAGAGTTGAGAAATACCTGGGATGAAAAGAAGTAGCTTCATTGGACTTTTTCCTTGTTTCTACTCAGCTTCTCAGGCTCAGAACTGTCTGCAAAATAAACACTTCTTGTCAAAACCAAGTTTAGCACTGGAGCAAGTCCTGGTTCCAGGTTCTTAGCTTTTTTTAGCTTCAGTAGGAAACTCTGCAGTTCATTTACTGTTGAGTTTAAAAGATTAGTTTTATGTTAGGTCTCAGTACAGGTAAATACACATTTGTTTGAATTTGAAGTTACAAAGTTACAACCCCAGTTCCCTCAGCCACTCCTCGTAAGGCTTGTTCTCTAGATCTTCCTTTGCATGTGCTCCAGCACCTCCATGTCTTTCTTGTAATGAGGAGCCCAAAACTGAACACAGTATTCAAGGTGGGGCCTCACCAAAGCTGAGTACAGGGGCACAGTCACTTCCCTGGTCCTACTGGCCACACTATTTCTGTATACAGGCCAGGATGCCATCGGCCTTCTTGGCCACCTGAGCACACTGCTGGCTCATGTTCAGCCGACTGTCGACCAACACCTGCAAGCCCTTTTCTGTCAGGCAGCTTTCCAGCCACTCTTCCTCAAGCTTGTAGTGTTGCATGGGGTTGTTGTGACCCAAGTGTAGGATCCTTAGCTTTGAATCAGCCTTTCATTTCCAGCAGCTGATTTGAGCTGTTAGCACTTGTAACCATCTGGGCAGACCACATTACATGTTGTAGTTCATAAAGAACACAACCTGTTTAAGAAGAATGCTTGCAACATCACCTGTACTGCTGATGTGATACCCTCATGACCTCTTTTGTTGTAGCAACTCTTTCAGCTAGAGGAGTGGATGGGGGTGGCAGTCCTGAAGCAGGTGTAGCATTAAAATCCATTGGAATTTGGAATGTTTGAAAGTTGGAAATCCTATATAAATGTATCTTAAGTGTAGATTATATTTTGTAAAATGTACTAAAATTTTTATTTTTAGACCAGAAAAGCAATGACATGACATGTCCTGTATTTCAGAAAATATTCAGCATATATTCCAGATTGAAGCTTTATTCTAAATTAGAAACAAGGGTGATAATATAGTTTAGTTACCAAGGAGGTTGCAAAAGCCTTGGGAAATGCTAAGGGAGAGTGTTATACAGGGTGGTGATCTTGTGATCTCTACTGTTTCTTCCAGTTTCGTGAATCAAGCCACTTTTAGTTTTGTTGCAAGTGAGTTTTGGTGTAATTTTTGTAAACAACTCTATATTGGGTCATTTGTAGTGTGGTAGCTGACTGAGGTGTAAACTTGTTTTCAAAGTAAGTTCCTGGAAGTATTTTGAAGAAAGAACTTGAAAGGCTAAGAAAAGCTCTTGGAAGTCTGTGGGCTAGCAACAACAGCTGGAGAATTTCCTTTTTAGAGTTTTTTTCAGTAACTGGAATTTGAAAATCTGTATTTCTCCCTCCAGTTATTTTCCTATAGTTTCCCCTCTGGGCTGTTTCACCAAGTGTCTATTAAATATTCTGCAGTCTGTTTTTGTTTAACTCTCTAATTTTGACTTGTGTGTGTGTACATGTTTTAACTTCTTTAGGTTGGTAATTCATATGTAAAAATAGTTGCTTAGTATTAACAGGCTAGCTCTTAAACCAAAAGTATGGGCATTTTTCTGTTACTCTGACTTTACTTGGATATTGGAAGTTTCTTAAAAACAAACCAACCAACCCAAAACCACCTCCCCCTCCAACCTTAGTATTTTTGCCTCACAACCTCCACTACCACCTGATACCCAAATCAGACCTTGAGTCCAAGTTGCTTTTGTAGATGAGCTTCTTGAAGGATCCTGAGATTATAAGAGAATTTTTAATCAAGTTGGTGCTATTTGTCTGGTTAAACAACAGACAATTATTTTGTTTAATGGTGGAAAGTGTTCTTTCAATATCAGAATCTTCTAGCAGGAGTTACCGCACTGAAGTTGAGGCATGGCTTATGGACAGAAAGCTGTAAATGAGGCCTGCTTTTGTTTCCATGCTGTGCAGGTAGAGAGGTGGACCAAAGCAAACCCTGAAACATCTGAACAACCTCTGACTCTTGTTAATAACTGTTAGATTAGTATTCCCTCTATGCATATCAGCTTAGTTTAGGACATGCCTGAGCTATAATTTTTGTCTGAAAGCTGATCTTGAATGGAATGACATTTCTGCAACCTGCTACTTACTAAACTTAATTGAAAGTACCTCAAAAACTTTGTATGTTAACTATGAAATCAATGATTATGAACTCCTCTGCTCTGTAATAAACAGTGATGCCACAAGACAGCTTTTGCTTTGTATCTTTTTTTTTTTTTCTTTTTTGTGCCAACAGCATGTTGTGGTGAATACAGCAGGAGATTCTCATACACATTCATGTTGAACAAGAATGTCTGTGTTGCATTAGAACTTGAGCTCTGATTTTGAGTTAAAAGTGGTAGAAATTTGCTGTCGGTAGCATAGATTTAGCTGTCAACGGGCAAAAAAGTAAACGTTCAACCAGAGGTAAGAACTGATAGCTTTAAGGCATTTGGTAAATATCATACTGTTGGTTTACACCTGAAGATGGAAAAGTCCTGAAATTTCATTTCTGGTGGCTGGATATTAATCTATTTTTCTGTGTTAGTGCCACAACCTGTCACACAATAACGCAGTCCTTGTTAAAGAGGGATTAATCTGTGAGTCAGTTCTAATTGTAAGGGAGGTGGCAGTTATGTCATATTGGAGAGCAATCTAGTGCTCTGCCTACATGAAATGCTGTTTTTTTGAGAATAATGTTGCCTTGTGTTTCTAAAAGGCCTGTTCCTTAAATGGTTTGGTTATAACCGACTATTTTTCCTTATGTAATGAGATACTAAATGAAATTATAGTTTCTCTGAAGTCTGGACTGGATCTTAAAAAATAAATTTTACTTGGATAACTTTATAGCAAGATCATCTGCTATGTCAATGCCTGTTGATATGTGGAGGGTTTTTTTAAAATGGAAATTGTGGTAGTTGAGATTAAAAAAAAACAACAACAAAAACAACAAACAAACAAAAAAACCCCAAACTCACAAAACAAATCCAAGCAAAACAGACAGGATGAAGTGTGATCTAGTGATTACTTGTGTAAAATGAGATCTGTAAAATTGTTCCATTTTATATTAATTTGCAGTGTTCTAGTTTAACATTTATTTTGTTTATTTTATTTAATTAATTTATATAATATGCAAAAGTACTGTTGATGTTACACCATTAACAGTATGGTTGAGGTTTAATTACTTTGTTGCAAAGTTAAAAGCCAAGCTATTTCGTCAGTTATATTTGGATTGCTGAGTGCTGTTTTTTAAATTGCGAAGACTAAATTGGATATTTTCCTGGTTTTCTATTGTAGGAAAAGTTCGGTGGCAAGACTTTGATCAAGATGCTTATGTTGGCGCTACTGTGGTGCGGTCTGGTCAGGATCCATATGCCCGCAATAAATTCAATCAGGTAGAAAGTGACAAACTGCGAATGGACCGAAGCATTCCCGACACTAGGCATGATCAGTAAGTGCCGAAGTGAGCCATGTTTGACTTGGATTAACCTTTTTGTATTTATGGCTTTTGATCAGCAGATGGTTTTTCTAAAGCAGAAGATCCCCAGCTTTCAGTATGACAGGGACAGTAAATTGTGGTGTGATCCTTAAACAGTGGGTTAAAGAACAATGACTCTTATTCAAATTTTTCTGTTTCCATGGCTTCCATCAGTGTGTATTCTATATCCAGACTGGTGCTGCATTTCAGTCTCTTTTTGCTCCCCTTTATCTGATGGCTTTTCTTGCTTTTCTATATTTGTAAGTCTCTCTCACTGTGAGAATGATCAAACAGTGGAGCAGGTTGCCCAGAGAGGGTGTGAAGTCCCCAGGCTTAGGGATATTCAAAGCCTGATGCACAGCCTGCTGTAGCTGGCCCTGCTTTGAGCAGAGAGTTTGGACTAAAAGATTTCCAGGAGCCCCTTCCAATCTCATTCACTCTATGATTTTGTTCTTCTATGTATGTTACAATTGTTAACTCCAAACCGAAAGGAATCTGTTTATGCACACCCTGGTGAACACAGGGCAGGATGACACTTCAGATGCTTAAAAACTTTGGCTACATCAGGCTGCTTGTGCAGATTCAGGAAATACTCCACTTCAGAGTAAGGAAAAAATTTGTTTTCTTGTGGGTAGAGAAGACTTTCATTTAAAAAAGGGTTTGAGTGACTTGCACTAATCTTGCTTAAGCAGAATTGATTAATATTAAAACAACAGTTGCTCATTAGGACTTTATAACTTAAAGAAAAATAACAAAAGCGGGTTGAACTTGGTTTCAAAACCAGATAAGCATAGTCTCAAAGCATAGAAGTAGCCAATTGTGTATAATTAACTTGCCTAACTAATTCTGCAGTTAGGATGAACATACATTCACAGCTTTGTAGGTAGAAGGAGCAGAAAGAGACACCAGAGGGAGAGAGAAAAGGAAGGTACCTATTTTTTTCCATAAAGCTCTTTAATCAGGAATCGCATAGTAAAGGAGATTTGTATAGAAACTCAGACACTGTGTCATTTTTAAATCCCTTGTATAATAGCATGGTTTTAGGTTCCTTTAAGCAGATGATTTGTAGATAGAGTAAAGCAAGTCTCCGCCACCAAATTCTAGAAGCTTCTATGATTCAGATATATTGAATTTGGAATTTTTCTAGATATTTAATAACCTCTGGGGAAGGTCTAACAGAGAAATACTCTCCTTTGAGACAAAAAAGAGAGATGACAGGAGATAACTTGTATTACTGTGGCTATGCTTGTTTTAATTGTTAGTGTTGTGATTATATGCTGATGTGCCTGGGTTTTTTTCATGAAATGGAGCTGGAAAAGAACCCTGCAGTGGAGGGGGAGAGCTATGTTTCTGGGGAAAGTCTGTATCTGTGCTGTGATTATTACTTAGACTTTGCCGTTGAACAGATTTAAGTGCCCATCAGTCTGTAAATGGTCATCTTTTTCAAGAAAAAAAAACAACCACACAAACAAAAAAACCCAACCCCCAGACTGAAGCAATCATTCCTGCAAATTGTCCATGATGCTTTCCCTGCTATGTTGCAATTAATTTTCCTTCTATTTTGGCAAGGACATTAACTGCAGAAGCTGAAAAAGTCGCATGAAATATTTGTGTGGGAACTGTCCAAAGGAAAGAGCAAGAGCAATAGCCATAGGAAAAAGAATATGTTACAGATCTGAGCATGGGACACTTGAAAGCATGTTATTGTCAATAAAATTGGAGGCAACTGGGTTAAGATTAAGATCTCTTATGAAGCTACTACAATCCTTTTCTTTAAGAAAAGAAACTTGGAGGAGGAAATAATTGTTTCTGCTTAAGTAACTTTTTATTAATTGTATTGATGTGTCTAAGAGGCTGTTTGACTTTAAAATAGCTAAATAATAATACTATTTAATTGCTGAAATTGTCTAGGCTGTTTAGAAACAGTTTATCAGGATTCTACATTAGATAGGTAAATGTGTGTGTAATTATGCATTGCTTTTTATACTATGTTGTTTAGTCTTTTCTGCATCGGACAAATTCTTAGTAGCATCAGGTTAAGATCAAAGTTTTCCACTTGCTTTTTGTGAAAGTGCCTCAGCAGTACTAGAAACCACTTTGTTTCCCCTGGTTAAGCTGCTTTCCTTTGTTTTAAGCAAAAGGGAGAAGTGACAAAAAGGTAGATACAACATAAGAAAGGAAGCAGAGAAAGGAGGTCTAAGCATGAATGCAGATTCCCACTCCAGCTGATGCTCACAGCTGCTGCTTCCAACAGCTTTGAGAAACCTTTGGGTTTCCTTCTGTTGCAGTCTATTTAAGATGTGTAACTGAGAGCTATCCCTGTCATGGTAGGTTTTGGAGATCCAGACAGTGAGTGTCACAGTTGTAATAGGAATCCTCTAGAGCTGTCCTCCTGTCGGTGTAAAATAGTCTCTTAAGTGGAATGGAGGGTGAACTACTCCATGGTTTTTGTGGACCAATGTCCACCACGCTTACTTCGTACCAGCGTTTTCTGATCACGTCTCTTACGTGATGTGTTAGTATGATTCTTGAGAATTACCGGTAAGTACTTTAGCTGGACTAAACCATGTTATCTTTCTCATTTGGCAACTACTAGAAGCTTCTAACCTCACACTGAAGTTTTACGGTTAAGTAGAGAAGAAAGAAACTTTCCTGTCTCTTTGGTACCCAGATACCTGTTGAGGTGAATGTTCTCCTTCCACCGGTTAAAGTGGATATTTCTGTTAAAAAATGGTTTCAACAAACCGTGGAGGTTTCAGAAAATTTGTTAATGCTATAAACTAGTCCAGTGACTTGAATTTCTGGGGGAAGGAACATACTTTTCATGTTTTAACTGATTTTAATGACCTATGCTAAGCATTGAATGTCTAGATTGAAGTTTTCAGTTCAAGTTCTATTTTATCCAGGTGTATTTGCTCATTCTGCTTATAAAATTAAGTGCTGTAACTTGAGGAAAGAAAGTTTAATCTCCATGCCAAAGGTGATGACACTGTTTCTTTGGTTTGAGTTTTAACTGTGACACAGCAGAATAGGAGGAGGGCTACTACTGAGTCAGTTAAAGCGAGGATTTTTTTAAGAGATGAAAGCAGAACTAATTGGTGAAACATTCCTCCAGTTTTGTTTGGAAGTCTAAAAATCTTAATTTCTCCCTCAGAAATAAACAGTAGTGCTCTTGAGTTTTCTTAAAATTGGGAGGCTTCATTGTCTTGGGTAATTCCACCATAAGATGTGCTCTGGCTCAAGTGCACTCCTCTGCAAAGAGATCAGTATAAGTTTAATGTGACTTTTTGAGTTATTCTAATGCAAGTGCTTCATGAGATAAATGCATACACAGTAGGCTTGTCCTTTGTGGGCAATTTGAAAGTTATTAGAAAAAAAAAAACCAAAACATTTTTTGGCACCCTAGGCTTTGGTGTATAATAGCTGGATGTCTTGTAGCTGTCTAGAAGAATTGCCAGAAGCTCACAACAGAGAGAGTCTTAATTCTTTCCTTTCCAGGAACGCATACGTGTTTGTGATTTACTGCTTCAAAGCTGGGTGCTAGTGATGAAGTCACGTTGTATACCCACTATTTCAGAAACAAAACTAGATAAGGCCTTGCCACTCTGACATAGCAGTTTTAGGGTTGTCATGGACTTTGTTTTTCTTCAGGATGAGTGAGGTCACCATGGCACAGTAGTGTTTTTATTTCACGGCAAGCACGAACATATGTGACAGTATGGGTGTGTTGTATTGAAAACCCTGCAGGTCCTTGGGATTTTGTAGGATGGGCAAGGGCAAGAAGTGCATTGCCACTTGCTCTCTGATTCCAGTAAGTTGAAGGTGGCGTGGTATATGATGCATGGCACAAATGTTTAATTAAGCGTGGAGAAGCCTTTTACATAGGCAGAGGCCTAGTTTTAGAAGTTTAAGTAGCAACGTAACTTACTTCTCTTCCCTTAAAAGCTAGTTTGAGTAATACTGCACAGAGTACAGAATTACCTGCTGAATTTGCTACAGGTGTATGCTAACTGAGTTTATCCCCTCCAAAGTCAACTAGGCCTGTTAAAACTCTAACCCTAAGAGTAAATAAAGGATATATGAAGAAATACATAACTCATGTATGTTACGGCATGACTGGGGATCAGTATCGTGACCTGTCAGACTGTAATGCTTTCAGCATAAACTAGCACTGTTAGTGTCTTATACAATGAGAGTAGTTTCTTTTTTTAAATTTATTGTCAGTGGATTTAAACAGCTTAACTTTATGTAGTCCTGCAGGAAGTATTTTGAGATATGCTGCTTTTTGCTTTTTATATTAATTTCAGGCTACTAGAGGTGACGAAAAATGAGTTGACATAGATGAAATATTTCATTATGGTTTCAAAGGATGTGATTCTCTGTTTAGTTGGTTCAACACTGTCACAGCTAGCTTTGTTTTTCAAATTCTGAATGCTACAATCCTTAAAAACAGTTTTCTAACGCAGTTTTATCTATGAGCAGGACCAAGATGCTACAGTAGCTTTAAAAATAAAGGGAGAAGTGGATGCATGCCATTCTGAAGAAGAGACATACAGTAGCCTATGAAATAATGTATTTTAACTGAAAACATGCTCATTTGCTTAAACTCTAGTTTCATGCTTAGTTGCATGTAAGGTATTCACTACACAGTGCAGTGATGATAATCCGGTGACTTTTCTAAACCTGCCTATATCTGACACTGACTTCTTAGCCTGTTGTGTACTAAGACAACTACCAAAAGTGGCAGAAAATGAGTTGATTATAATCTCACCTGAAAACAAGATATTTCATTCTTCCTAGGTAGAGGTAGTTAGTGTGTACTTGAGTTTAATCACTAACTGCTTCACAGTGAAGGCTGTCTGCTGAGCCTGGGATGTAAATGTCATATTAAAATGACAGGGTATTGTGTCTTTCAGGTGTCAACGGAAACAATGGCGGATAGATTTGCCAGCCACTAGTGTGGTGATCACCTTTCATAATGAGGCGAGATCTGCTTTGCTTCGAACTGTCGTCAGGTATACCTAAGAGACACCTTGATTTTTCCCTAAAGGCCATTCATTGTGTCAGATAATGACTTGTGATAAGGAAGGAAAGTAATAATCCATTATCCTTTTCTGAACCATTTGCAGAGGGAAAGATGAGTCTTAATTTCATTGATGCCTCCAGTTCTTACATTCTGAAATATTGATGTTAAACAAAATTGCTCCCCTTAACTACAAATGCATGAAATTGTGGAACCAATTACCAGATGGTGTGGAGGCTGGCTGTATAACTAGTTTCAAGGAAAAAATCAGGGAAGATGGATTTTCAGGGGATATTTGACCTAAAGATAACTGCAAAACTTTCATATTACAAGCTGTCTAATGCACTGATTTCTAGAGGCTTGAATTTTGGTGATGGGGCAGGATGGGGGGACACAACACACGATTCTACATGTGCCTCTCTTCAGAAACACTTTCCATAAGACTAAGCCAATAGCTGTTGTTGAAGATAGCATCCTGGGCTAGGTTCTACTGTGGCTTATCAAAGTAACTGCTTTTATGGCATTACTATGGGAAATTAAGGCTGCTTAGTATTGAATGCTTTCCCTTTTTTTTTTTTTTTTTTTTTTTTTTTTTTTGGTCTGTTTCAGTGTTCTTAAAAAAAGCCCATCACATCTTATTAAGGAAATCATACTGGTGGATGACTACAGTAATGATTGTAAGTATTTTTACAGGGTCCTAACTTTATTTTGTTTATTCTGGTAGAACTTTCTGTAGGTGCTAGTAGGTGACTCGCTTGAGAATAGGTCACATGAATAAGAGTTTGCAGAGACTTGTCCAAAACTAGGTCTTAATTCTTTCATATCTGTCACTGTGGAAATGTGAAGAGTTCTGATAAATACTTCAGGTATATTTTATTACTTCCTGCTAGCTGAAGGAGGAGAGTGTGTAGTTGAAAACAGCCTTTACATAGCATGTTGTGTGATGTGAAAATAAAATCCATGATGCTTGCACAAATATTTTTGTAGCACTGCTTTAAATGAATGCTGGTCTCCATCAGTCTCTTGGAAGAATTCTTATGAATCTAAAATAAGCCAAGGTTTTATAACTACTAGGGCATCACAATCCAAACTTGAACAATTGAAATGGACCTCTAAGTAACATTTCTTAAAATAAGTAAAGGTCCACACTTGTATTGCTAGTTTATAGCTAGTTTAGGACAGGTTTAAGCCTTAATGTTGGCTAAAAGTGAGATTTCTTATATGCAAAGAAAACAATTAATCCTAGAAAACACTTTAATCCTAGAAAAGTTTGATTTTTCTTATGCAATGTAGAAACTGTCTGAAGTAAGCAAAGAGAATATAATTAAATAAAAATATGAGTGTAAAATTAAATTAGCTTTAAAGAACATAATGAAGCTAGTAGTTTCTTAGCCCGATAACTTTTCTTTGTTTTTGTTGAGACAAGTAGGCCTTTTTTTTTTTTTAAGCATGTGTCTTATACTTAACTATTTATGATGATAAACACTTTATACTACAAAGCTTTTGTTTTTCTTGAAAGCAGCTACTCTTATGGTATACAACATTGGATATCAAACTGGTTCTCATCACTTGATTTTTTTTTTTTTTTAAATTTTTTTTTTCTCTTTTAAAGCTGAGGATGGTGCTCTCCTGGGAAAAATTGAAAAAGTGCGGGTTCTTAGAAATGATCGCCGGGAAGGTAGGCTTAATCTTCAGGAAAGAAGATAAAAATTCCACTGTGCTGCCTTGTCTGTTAATCTTCAAGACTTTTAAAAGAACATTTTGCTGTACATTCCATATTGAAGGGGGGAGGTTCACTTTATATATCAACTTACTAGTGGAAGGAATAAAAACAAATGCATTTGTGCAAGTAAAAACAGTAATTCTGATTAATTCCGTATTGTTGAGTGTGCAGTTGCCCATTGTTGGCTTTCACAGTGAAAGCTGACTTGAGAAATTGCCTTTCACCCTCAGCCTCTTCTTTCTCTTACTGTACTGAATCCTCAGTTAAGCTAGTCCTGTTGTATGTGAGATCTCACTGTAAACTGTATGAATGTTTGAAATGATATAACTATTTTAAAACAGCCCTCTTCTTTGCTAGTTCCCTCATTAGAGATCATTTTAAGGATCCAATGGATGGACAGCCAGGGAAACAGTTTGTTTGGCAGACTTGACAGGGCTGGAACCACGTATGCCAGTTTTGCTGAAGCCAGTGTCCAATGTAACACACAGTCTTACATTTTTCTTTTCTTCTTTGTTGCTTTGTAAATTATGGTCTCGAATCACTGAGCCCTTCAGTCAGCAGCTTCCTGGCTATGGAGCTTAAAGTATTAGATACAGGCAACTGTTATTCTACAGCTGTTTGAAATAATAAGACTGAGTTAGCAGATAAGCACTGTATCTTCTAGGCTGCCAGCCTGACCTGGGGAGCAACTAGAATCATTACATTGTCAGAAACTGGAAATTACGTGCACAAAACTTGTGTTGTCCCATAATTAAAGTTATTGCAAACAGGTGGGTTCTTAGTGTTTAAATGTTTTGTTTGGAATCTACTTGTAAACAAAGGCTTGTTAGGAAAGCAGACCTTCTATGGCTTGCCATGGTTGCAGGGTTCTCAGTAAGTTAGTATCATTTTTCCGATCAGTACAGCACTTAAAGATGGAGATAATTGTAATGGAAAAAAACAGAATGAAGTAACATTTTTTAATTTATATTTTTTAGTAATTATAAATATTAACTTTGTACTGCATATACACATTTATACTTAAAATGTGCATCAGTATATCTGAAAATGAAATACAATTTGACAAATCTTTTACTGTGTCAGATAAGAAAAACTATTCGCAGATTAAAGGCACAGTACTAGTTTATTTGCATTTTTGTGAGATTGAGATTAAATTATTACCCATGGGATTTACTGTACTGTTCATAAAGTTTTGCCTAGGCATCCATATGTGCAACCAGGTGATAATTATTGAAATTAAAATATTGTAAGATTTCATTTGATTGCTGGCCTGTTGTGCTTGACTTTGATACTCACTTTCCTTTTCATTTTCAAGTGTAGGCTGATACTGATATCTCAGACACATACAAAATAAAATTTAAGAGAATCAGTAAAATCAACCAGTGTGTAGGATGCTAAGAGTAACACATTAGTATGAACGACAGAGAAAAAACGGCACATTTTAAAACAAAAATGAAAGTAAAGGGATGATGTCTGTGGAGGGGATGACACTGACTGCTTTGCTTTCAGAAACATGGGATATCAGCTTTAGTCTCATCCGTAAGACCAGAGTTTGTTATGGGAACAGGTATGTTTTGGAGGGCAGGATAGTCTACAGAGCAAACGTTCAGGGGAACCTTCCCAACTTCTTCTGTTGTAAGGCTGAATATGATTGTAGAGGACTCAATGGTCACCTGTGTTTTTTTGTCCCTGAATCTGAAATCAAACACTGTTGTGTGTTTTCTATGAAGTAGGGCAACACAGTAGGTTCTATAAGAATGTAAGTTAGAAATAATTAAGTTCTGAAAGGAGGAAATGCAGAAGTAAATGAAACATTGCCAGAGTGCTTGAGGAATGGTTTGTTGTGGAAAAACTGAACAGAACGGGTTCAAAGGTTGGAATTAGGGAGAGCATAAGAAGCAGAGATACAGTTAGCTACTAGTGCACAACAGATAAGGTACAGAGAGTTCTGTTGGAGAGCATCAGCACAGCACGTATCTACAACAGTGAAGCGCTCACCTTTGTGGTAAGAGATAGTACCAGGATCTTGATGAGGCTATTGCTGAAAGTTGGACAGAGCAAACAAACTTTTCCTCTTAAGCATTGTGTATTGTTTGGCAGAGTCATATTTTGCAGGTTTATTTTGTAAAGGGAATGGAAAGAAATTTTCTTTTACAATGTTTCTTTTGGGGAGGTAGAAAGTAGAACGGATTTGGTGAGGAAACAATAGAAAGAAAAAGGAAAAAAAAAATTACTTGGCTTTGCTCTCGAGTGACAATGAAATAAATGAATTTTGAATAGTAATAGAAAAGAATGGAGTAAATTTGCAAAGAAATGAGAGGAAGCTTGCTGTTTTCTGTATTGGAGTAAATGGTAGGATGTTCTGGGGTATTTGTGTAAATATAGCAAGGGACTTTGAAGAATGGTGAGGTTATCCAATGAGCAAATATTAAAAGAGAAAAAAGGAAGGAAGGAGAGGAACAGAGCAAATCAGTGAGGGCATCTGGGTAATTGAGGTGTAGAGAGGAGAACCTTTTGACTTTACCAGATGTTTCTTCCTAAAAAAGGAAAAGAAATATTTGCAATATAAGATTTAAAAAAACCCTGATAAACAAACAAACAATCCCCCCCACCAAACCACAAGATGAGAGAGCTGCAAGAAACACAGGGGAAAGACAATTGAAAGGGGTGAAGGGAAGACTCTCAGACATGAATTAAGGAAGTATGGTTATCTCTGGAAGAAGCTGATAGACTGTGGTGAAGACTAGGATGGGGGGGCAGCAAAATGTGGGAGAGAGAGGATAATGATGGTGCTTTCCTCAGTTCTATCATAGAACTGTAGGAAAGGTGCTTGTTTTCAGGACTGATCTTGAGTTATGTTTATCGGTATAAATATAATGTATTGTAATGCAGACCCAGCTACACTTGTGTATCACTTTTTTAAAAACATACTTTAATTCTACCTAAATAAGATTGAAGCTTGTTGACTAGGGTGCAGCAGGTTGAAAGCTTGTAGGCAGTTTGTTGTGAAATCATTTCACTGAATTGTTAACAACTAGATTCTCATTTTGATAACGGAACTTGTGTGTTTGTCCTGTCTGCGTTAGTCATTTAATTCAGGACTAACTTTGAATGCAATAGTTTCTCGCTACTGTTGATTATTTTCCTCGGTAAGTACTTTAAACATTTTATCTTTACTTCTCAGGCTTGATGCGCTCCCGTGTCAGAGGGGCAGATGCAGCACAAGCAAAAGTACTGACCTTCCTGGATAGTCACTGTGAATGCAATGAACACTGGCTGGAACCGCTTTTGGAAAGAGTAGCTGAGGTTAGTAAAGAGTTCTTCCAAAGTAATTTCCTGAAGGAGTAGCTTTTAAATTTTAAAGCCATCTGGTTTATACTACATTAATTTTATGCATTTTTCTAAGGAAGCTTTTTCTCTGAAGTGAGATGATGGACATGATCAGAGTGTTCTGTGATTAAAACCTACTTTTTGTTCATTTAATCTGTGAACACAAGAGCATAAAATGTGAATATTTATTATTACCCTTACAAGCAATTCAAATATGTGCTTCTTCAGTTCTTTAGGGACCTCTTCAGTAGGTGTTGAAAATCTTTAGAGCAAAGTATAGTTCTCAACCAATATCATCTCAATGCAATACAGTTTACCTGAGTATTTATGCCTCATTAAGATTCAGTGTGATAATAGGAGAGAGGTTGAGCTGTGAAACCAGAATTCTCATGGAAATTAGCAGGGACTGTGGGCTCGCAGCTTCTGTGAAAATGATGCTTAGTCTGTGTCCTGGAAAAGCAATTGAGAGGATCGAGAGTGAAAGTATACTGTTTTCTCCAGGGGTTGGTTATGCTTGTTAACTTGCTCAGGAGGAACTGAGTTGAAGTAGGAAGTGGATCAAGTGTGATCCCAAAAAGTCCTGGGGAATACTCAAGACAACAGTGTTTTTCTTTTTTAATTGCATTCCCTTTTTTGTAAACTACCCTTCCTGGAAAGGCTTTCTTTCAAAATAGTCCTGGTCAAAATGGTTTTGCTAAGCTATTCTGTCTTGTTAATGGCCAGTTCTTCACTTATCCTTCCTACACTTCCCTTTGTATTTTCCCTAGAAAGGAGGGGGGAGGAATGAAGTAAAAACCATATACTCAATATGCCAATGGAGAAGCTACCAACTGATGATTCATTCATTTTCTTTATTCTGTTTGGTTCTATGATGCTTTACTGTGTATTCCAGAAATACTGTAAGTTGCCTAAGTTTTATCAGCAGTTAAAATCCTATTTTTGCAGTAGAAATATCTTTAATCAGCTCAAACCTGTACACTATTGAAGTACCTAGAGCCTACAAAGCCTTTGAGCGTGACTAACATAGCACTTCCTTCTATTTTTGTGCCCATGTAAAGTGTTGCAGCCACTGAAGGGTTGGGGGAATTTCTCTATAATTATTAACTAGGAAAGTAAACTTGAAGGCATTAAAATATATCTCAGAAGGAAGTGGACAGTGCTTGCAGGTAAAGCACTAATGGTTCTAGGATGTAGTAACTGTTTTCAAACCTTTTTGTGTAAATAGTTTGAAGCATCTACCTGTTTGAGAAATCAGAAGAGAAATGGTAGTTTTTATCAAAAAACCCTGCTTTTCCTAAGACTATTTTGCCATTTATCCTTTTTCTTGTCTATGATTCTTTTTGGGGCATCCTTTTTTAGCCTTCTGAGACTGATATGGGATATGAAAAAGTGTTACCTTTTCGCGACAACAGAAGGGAAAATGTCTTATTAAATTACTGACAATTTTGTGAAGATCTAGCATTGCATGTGGTATACTTGGTGGGAGAAACTGGTGCCTGTTTTGCTTTGTGCAGCAGCTACTTTTTTAACAGCTCATGAATTATTAGATCCTTCAAAACTTGTTCCTCACAATTGTTGCCATGATACACACTAATCGTGTGCCACTGAATAGTTTTCAACTCTATGAACACAGTTTTCCATTCTTAAAAGCTTGATGTACTGTTAAATAAATAATTGATGTGGAATTCCAGCTTACCTTCAGCTGAGAAGGTTCCCAACCAACAGGTATGGGTTTGATAAAGTAGCTTCTAAGCTTTCTGCTTGCTCAAATGATTAAGGCATTGATAGTGTTTACATATAGTACATGATAGTTCTTTGTTATTTTAAATGGTTTTATTTTTATCACAGTGCAGATGGTGTGTTCCTTGATGTTAATTGGCAGCATTTTCTTGATAGTCTCAGTGACAAGAAGCTAAATAGTCATGAACTTATTATTTCTGCTCTAGCCTCAAAGGTAACCTTTTCAGGTCAGGGCTACTATACATTAATACAATATTTTCTGATATGCTGCTGCATTTACTTTATATGCAGTGGAAAATGTAGGGGTTTTATTTTTGTTCCAGAAATGCCCTTGGCATTTAATTCTGTTGGTGTTTTGGGGGATTAATTGTGTGTTACAACATAAAAATTTATAGCTTCCAAGAAAGTGCCTGAATTGAATCAGGTCTACAATACTCTTATCTATGTGCTGTAACCACTTTAGAAAGCTGTGTCTTTGACCTCTTGCTTGTGTTAGGAGCACCTGAGGCATCAAGCTCTCCTCTTCAGTTGAAGGATGATCCATCCCACAGTTTTCTTCTTTGAGATGGTTTCCTTGTTAGGCTAACTTTGTCCATTGACTGTGCTAGCTTAGCATTTCTAGAGGGGTCTGACGCTGCTAGGGACTTTTCTTCAGCAATTGAGCAAAGGCTTAAAGCAGAAGCAACATACGTACAAGGTGAATATTTTAGAGTTCAGAGCATACAGTTAACTGTGTAACCTGGAGCTGGTGTATCTTCTCCCTCTTTGCTCCCTCCTGGAGAATGGTTTTCTGCTTGATTCCCTCAGGCTACCTTTATTGCCTCTAGATTTTTTTTTTTTTGTGTGCGCACTGGTTAGGGCAGATTAAATGAGGAGCCAGTGGAGTTTAACCCTTTGATTCTCACATACAACATAGTAGTAAGTATACACAATCTTGAAAACATTGGTAACTGTGATCTATTTCATGAACACTTGTCTACTTGGCTTTTCCTGTTTCCAATTTCTAATCACTTTGATATTCTATTCTTATAATACATCAATTATATGAGAAAAATAAAAAGATTCTGGTGCAGAACTGAACGAATTTGTTTTCATAGCATAGCTGTAAATCCTATATCACTTTTAGGAAGGCATTTTTAAACAAAGAAGATCTTAAAAGGAAGAAAGAACTAAGATTAAGAAGTGAGATGTGGATTCCTTTTTCATATGTCTCGGGTTTTGTGACCTTGAATGAGTCAACTTTTAACTGGCACAATGCTGAAAGGAAAATATTTCTATTTTCTCTTAAGTGTGTTGTGAAGCTTAATCTTTGAAGTGTCTTGAGATTTTTAAAGGAGGGAAGAAGCAATGTATGCAGAATCTTGAGGATAATTTCTGATGGTTTATGAGAACAATGTATAATAGTCTTAACTCTCTAGAGCATACATAACCTCTTTATGAAATAGTCTGCTACAAATTCTCAGGCACTAGAGACTTACAGTATTCACAAGCTATTTCTTTCCATTATCCTCACCAAGAAGCACATGGTTTTCTATTTGTGTGTTCCATTATAAGTTATGATGTCAACCCCTCAGAACAAAACGGGAGATTACAAAAAGGAGTTCCTTTTTTGCTTTTTTTTTTTGTTTATTTCTAAAATGTGTATCAGATTTCTACATTAATCACACTATGGATAAATAAGTACCTTGCTTTAGGATAATTTAAAGGGAGCAGCTGCTTTTTAGTATTTAAGTGAATGAACTCACTGTACTTTGGAGACCCGCAAGCTCTTTTTAGCAGTCTGCTTTAAAAACTCTGTGGTGCCCTGCAAAGCATTCCCTTAAGAATGTGCAAGTCTTTAGTCTGCTTTACTGCTGAGAAAATCTGTAATTTCAAATCGTGGAAGGATCAGTATGTTTGCAAGCCAACAAAGTGGTGGTTGTATGACAAACTGAATGCTCACAACCTGGGTATTTGTCCGTTGGAGAAACAACTGCAAGTTGTTTAAATAATACGTTAGGGTGTAGCAAGTGGTGTTAGTGTGGTGTCGCACTGATACTGATAGAATTAATCAGACCAGCAGTAAAAGCCTGAGAAGATCCCAAATGCATAAAGATAGTGTGCTACCTGCTTACTCAGCATGGTTGAGATAAGTTGAAGCCTAACTGAAGCTCTACCTGATGTGATGCCTGATAGCTTGGGCAACTTTTACCACCAGATTCAACTGTGCCAAGTGGAACCGTTTCAGAAAACACAAATTTAGAAATGGGCTTAGATGTATAAGCTGTCTCAGTTTCAGCTAAGGAAAGAAGGAGAGGAAGGGTGGTTTCATTTTTGTATTTCATGGTGATGGATGTATTTTGAATAATGAGATAGGCTGGATATGTCTCATCAGTCTTTAAACAAAGGAGTTTTCTACTTCCATCACTGTATGTGGAATGCCTAAAATAAGGTCATGAGTGCACCTGAAGTGCTCCAGTGTTGTAGGAGGGCATGCAGACAGTTAGGGTTTTGCAGTTAAGGTGTGGTAAATCATAATTGTCTCCCAAGTACAACACAGTTAGCAAAACTGTATGCTTCCCATGACAAGTGTGGACTTGGGGCTACAGCTAACAGCAACAGGAGCTAAACATGTGATCAGTGGGGGAATAGAACAGGTTGGTCTCTTTTGTCTGTGTTTCTAGTTTGCTTTAGACCAAGCTAATTAATACTTAGTAGCAGACTTCATTAGATATTATATTACATCCCTCATAAAAGCATATATTTGGCCCGGATGGTATAGCTGCAGATACTTAAAAGGAATGTAGAAATCGGTAATAAGCCTTCTTCAGCTTTTAGCTTAGTCTTCAGCTTGTGTTCTCTTGGATTCTCCTTTTGGCTGATACAGAAGTTAGTGACTTTTTGCTCACTCAAGCAGAATGACCTAATAAATGCCAACTGTGTAATTAGGGCTTATTAAAGTCAGCACGGATTAAATACTTAGGATCCAATAAATGAAAATAGGTGTTTAATGTCCTTATTGGACCAAGCAAAGCATTTGACTAAAAGAGTTGCTTTTAAGTCTCTTGTTATGAGCTCAAGCTATTCTCATACTAGTTTGGTTCCAATCTGAGAGGCTGAAGTCACTTGGTTTGTTCAGCCTGGTCAAGAGGAGACTGAGAAGAGACCTCATTATGGTCTGTAACTTCCTCACAAGGGGAAGAGGAGGGACAGGCGCTGATCTCTTCTTTCTGGTGACCAATGACAGGACCAGGGGAAATGGCAGGAAGATGTGCTAGGGGAGGTTTAGGTTGGACATAGGGAAAAGGTTCTTCACCCAGAGGGTGGTGGAGCACTGGAACAGGCTCCCCAGGGAGGCAGTCATGACACCAAGCCTGACAATATTCAGGAAGCATTTGGACAAGGCCTTCAGACACATGGTCTGAATCTTGGGTTTATCCTGTGCTGGGGCAAGAGTTGGACTCGATGATCCTTGTGGGTCCCTTCCAACTCACAGCATTCCATGATTCTATCTTCTGTATAATGCTGATTAGCAAGGGGGATGCATTGCTGAACCACTGTTTAGAATATACGTATTGTTATTTGAAGAGATACTTATGAAATAAAATCTTAAAATTGAGATGTTTAGGTTGGTATGTTGGGGTTTTTTTAAACCATGAGAACCATTTCTCTATAACAGAGCTACCAAAATATCTCCTGTTCAGAATATTTTTTTAGATTTGGTGATACTCTGTTCTGAAGTTATCTGTGCTCTCTGAATGATGTTAAATTGTGGAGCTCAAACTTTTATTTTGAACTCAAGCAGAATGTTGCATCAAACTACACTAGAAGCTATAATTCAGTGTGTAAATTTAACTTTTTTTTTTTTCCCCCCCAAGAAGTCATGGAGACAAACTAGCTTAACCATGATACTGCATTTCTAATATTAGATGAGTCTTTTTTTTTTTTTTGAGTACTTATATCTTGCAATCCTACTGGATGATACATGTGGAGTTGTTGGAAAGATTTTTGTTTTTTCTTAAACTATTTTGACAAAAACATCAGCTAAGGTAATTAATGTTGCTCAGAGTAATATACGAGACCATGGTTGGACAGAGGAATGTGGTGTCTGTACCACTGGAATCTTGGCTGCTGGAGATTAAAAGCATTCATTAGTTTGAGGTGTTTTTAGATTCTCTTTCCTATCTAAGTATCTGATTGTGAAATGGGATTCTTCTGGTGTGAAATGGGTTTGCATTAACCCAAGACTTTACTGATTGCAGAAAGGCCGAAGTGTTCCTTAAAGGTTGAAATAATAAGACGGTTGTACACGGTGTGGCTAGAGATTTGCTGTGGAAAATATGAATTGCCTGGATACTTCTGGTCTTTGAGCCGTTTTTAAAAGTTAGAATGGAAGTGTTGTTTGCTTGACTGCCTTTAGAACTACAAGTTTGCTGCCTTTTCCAAGAGCAAGTCAGAAGAGGGGGATTACTCGAACACAAGTAGCCTAGAGTGGAGAGAGGATTCCCACCCGTATCGTGTGGTTTCTGCTTACTGAAGCGGCACTGAACAAAGCTATTCATGGCACTGGCTGTTCGGAGCCATGAGCTGGAGCAGGGGGAGAACTGGGGGAGACGTGCTAATGAAATCCAAAAAAAAATCAACATCTCATCCTGTCTGAATCTTTATATATTGATTTCATTATTTCAATATTATTTTCTAATATTTATTTTAGGACAAGACCAGAGTTGTGTCTCCTATTATTGATGTAATTAATATGGACAACTTCCAGTACGTGGGGGCGTCAGCTGATTTAAAAGGCGGTATGTACCTGTACTGGAATGCAAATTTAAAAAAAAAACAACAAAGACATAAAGAATCAAAGCTCATAATCACTGCAGTTGCAGAATGGGCAGTTAATGTACTGTTAATCTCTTTCATATATCTAGTTTAAGTTCTCTAGGTCAGTTGTTTCTAGGCTTGGATTTTAATTGGCCTTATTGTCTTCTGCTTTAAAACAGTTCTTCATTATGCTAATGCTTATACGTTTATGCTGCCTTTTACCAATGTGCAGTACTCCAGTGTTTGTAGGATTGTCTAAATGTGTCAGAAGCAGCTCATGGCCAGAGTTTACAATTCTCTTTCTAGATACGACAGGCTTTCATTGCTCTCTAGCCCATCAGCAATGCAGTGCCTATGAGTTTTTTTTCAAGCTGTTGGTTTGCTTAAAAAATTAAACTCTTCTGAATAAGCTGGAAGCTTTGAAATGTGTTTAAAAAATGAATGTTTTTGTTAGCCATGGTCTGTAATTATTAAGAGAGTAACATCTGACCTTGAAACTTTGTAGTGTTTATACCTTTACAGTTGCTAAATTTCCTGTTAAATTGAGTTTGGAAGTACTGCAGTTTCACTATGTCTAGCTAGTGTAAACTGTTGACAGCAAATATTAAAAAGACTTGTGAAGCCCTCAAAAAAAAAAAAAAAGTCCTCCCATTGCTTTTTTCACTGTAAGAATCTAGCATTTAAAATAGCTGTTCTGTGCCCCTTCCCTTAAAAAAAAAATATAAAAAAATAAAAGAATGTTTCCTCAACCCTGGAAACTGAGCTGTCTGCACAAAGATATAAGATGAGCCATGATACAGAAATTGCACAGTGCTATTCCCATAGTGTTGCAGCTTTTTCTGAGTGGGCTTTCTTGAGTGAGGAAGGAAAAAACAATTTCAAGCCCATTCTATTAGTTACTAGTCTCTAGCCACCAGGTGTTGTTCCAGTAACCTAAAATAAAAGCTATATCTGCATAATGTCACATATGCTTCAGTTTCCAGTCAGTGATCAGAAGGTGAGAGGTTCTATATCCTTTTAATTAACATTTTGAAATAATACCTACAATGCATATATTCACGGTATGTTAATGTATAGCTCTAAGCTATTATCTGTGGTGTGCCAGCTTTATTAAAACCTTAAGGCTTTTACACAATCTATTCATTATGCCTCAAGTATGGAAATCTCTATACCATTATGTGGCTTTCATTGTTGTCTGCAGTTAGAGGAGGAATTATTTCATTGAAACCTTCGGCTGGTTCCTGTGGGGTTCATGCTCTTTATTTCTTCCCAAGTGAAGTGGGAGAACATTGAGAGATCATTTCACTTGTTAACTGCTTTTCATGCTTAATCTTTGAAACTACGTTTCACAATTTTTTTTTTTTTTTTAAACTTTCTAGTGCTCATTTTCTCCCCTCATACACAATAGAAATGGATTTTTTTTTCTTTAAAAATTTTTTTTAAAATGTGTGGACCCTCCATACTTCTGGACTGAGAAGTGAGAAACTGTCTTTTTTTTAATGTTAACAATAGAAATTTTGCACATACCAGTATTTGAAGCTATTTGGAGGCCTGTTGAAATGTGAATAATATATTTCTTTTCAGTTCCCAGAGGACAGATTACCATGTTAGAGGCACTACAGCATTTGACATCATGGGACAGTTTCAATGGGCCCAAAGTCTAAACTTGGAAACCAAACTAAGCTTTTAACCTTAGATACAGTATCTGTGTGGCTGAAGCATGGAGAACTGAGACAGCTGGGACAGCATTTGTGCCTGGTCTGTTTTGAAAGGACTTAATCGCCCAAGACAAGCAACCTAGCAAATGTTACAAACATTTTAAAGTGGACAGGGCTGAAATAATTCTCAAGTCTGGCCAATACTAAATCCATGCACTTCATGTTACAAATATTTTTTTTGAGGGGGGATTTGCAAAAGTGTCTATGCTGCCCTGAGAAATACTTTAATTACTGGAATAAACTGTCATTAACTGAGATCTAATAATTTAGAGTACGCCTATGATGCAGTTTACACTGGATAGAATTTCATATTGGATATGCACTTGTGTTTAAAAATACTCCTTTTACAGAGTTACTGATATTATCTCATTGAGTGCAGATTTTTCCCAGAGTCAGTGAAAATGGAGATGGAAAACCAGTTTTTATGGGTAGACAATTTATACACTTGTTCGGAGTTTGTAACAGAGTGCTGTGTTTCAAAAGAGACCCCTTGTGTTCACTGGAGTGTACGTAACTCTATCTCTGCCGCTTCTGCCAGAGAACAGTAGGTTTTTTCAAATTCTCCCAGATGCAAGTAATTTTGCTGGGTATGTATGATGAAATGTGATTTTTTTTTTTTTTTTTTTTTTTGGAAATATTGGAGCTCATTTTACTTTTCATGCTGGAAGCTTTGCAACCCTATTGATTGTAGCCATTTTACTGTTTTGCTACTTGGAGTTTTGGAGTAATTAGTAGTCTTTCATTTTTACAGTGCAACACTTCATTAAATGCTCAAACGTGGAGAGCTAGAGTTGACATGTGTGCTGTAAAGACAGTTCAGGATAATTTCTGTATTGTGTGTGCGTGTGATAAATATCTTGTGAGTTAAAATGAAAACTGATAGTTTTCAACTCTCCTCATCAGTCGTTCCTATGCATGTTTACGGATGCAGACAGACAGTTTGTAGGGCTGGAATTGTTGTCTGTTTACCTTAGCTTTTTCCCCACTTCCCTACAAAGTGATTGCTTTATCTTTATGCTGGAGAAAGAAAACTATTGACATCTGTGCACCAGAAATCTGGAAATCATTCATTACATGACCTCATAGGATCTAAATGTGTTTGGCAGCAGGCAGTCTGTCTTAAGGCTGATTTGCTAGGTGTACTGGGAGAGGGCTATGGATCTTGTGTAGTTTTTTAATAGATGTTCATGCTTATGGGCATAACCCAGCTCAAAAACTGTTACAAAGTGTTTCCTGTAGGAAGTTTGTCTTATACTAGCTGTATATCATTGCTTAAAAGTTGTCAGGTAGAAAGCTGCTGTAGGTGACTTATTGGTCTTGTCTATTCTAGTCATCTTTTTATCTGCTTCTGTGCTTAATTCATGAAAGGACCAGACCAGCTGTTGCTGTGTGTGCACACATATATGTACATCCATAAGGAAAGTTAAGATTTTGGCACTCTAGTGCTTGCTTCAGGTTTAAAAAGTGATGCACTTGGAAGTGTGCAGTGGGAAAGGAGGATGTTAAATCAATGTTAATAAGATAAGTGGGAGCTACATAACCTGTTGTGACCTTCATGATGTAGAACTCCTGCTGATAGAAGAGTACCAAGAGTACTGCTTAAAGCCTGTGTAAACACGTGAATGTTTGGTAAGAGTTGAAATGGAATTGTACAGTAAAGACTGTGAGCATTTGTAATGGCTGGAAGATCTTCATATGATCTATTTGTAAGGATTTGAGACATTGCATTCATATATAAGGCTTTTGCTTTGTCACTTGTTGACTGAGTTTCTTACTCTGTATAATAGATGTCAACAACAGAAATCAAAATTATTTTGTATTTATTGTGAGATTACTTTCTTTTTATCATGTTGTATTGTGAGATTTTATTGTGTATGTTTTTTGAGTTTACTTTTTTTATTTTCCTGTCAACTTCTTTACCTTTTGTCTGGACTCCTACTTGTTTATTTTCTAACCGGATGTCTGTACAAGTTTAAACTTTTCATTTAAATTACAGTTCCCAGTGTTTTCAGTCAACATCATGTTACCACAACTTGAATGATGACCACAGTATTTTTACCATCCTATTCTCTAATATTTTCCTCTTGAAGGCTTTGATTGGAACCTGGTGTTCAAGTGGGATTACATGACACCAGAACAAAGAAGAGCACGACAAGGAAATCCGGTTGCTCCCATAAAGTATGTCTGTACCACCACTTCTCCCTCTAATAGACTGTAGTTTGCAACTAAACAAAGTTAGAAATCACCTTCTCTGAGTTTGAAAGGGGATCTTTACTATAGCTATCATATTTATGCAGGGTTATGAGACACTCAGAATAATACAATAAACTGTATTTAAGAAATACTCTAAAGCACACTGGGAGATTATTTACGCTTAACAAAAAGTAGATGTCACTTTGTTTGAAGTCGGTATGTTTTGAGGGCTAAAACTACAGCATCAGTTTTAATGTTTTACTACTGGCACAAGTTGCCGCCCTTTACATGAGAAACTTGTGAGCCAAATGGAGATGTGGAAACTGCCTCAGAAGGTGGTCATAACACTATATATGCCATAGAAATAAGTGCAGACATTTGAAATTATGCAAAATTAGTTGCATTTGAAAGCATTGCTAATTTTTTCAAGGAGGTATTAACCTTGAGTAGTTACCTACCAGTTCATGGTTCTATAAGTATTTAATTTAATTTTTCTTGTCTGTTTAGGACACCCATGATAGCTGGTGGGTTATTTGTGATGGACAAATCCTATTTTGAAGAACTAGGGAAATATGACATGATGATGGATGTTTGGGGTGGAGAAAACTTAGGTATGTATATTATTTACCTTTGGATCAGTCTTAAAAGAAAACAAGTTTCATCATTGCATGTACTGTCACAGAGTCACGGTCTTCCTGATTTTCTGCAAAGAGGGTTAAAACCAGTGTTAAAACTTCACATGCATTATTGGTAAGATCCAAAAGGCTTATTTCAATGAAAGAATTAAGGTAGGAATTATAGGCTAAATGAAAGTATTTGCTCATTATTTTTGGGGAGGGGGTTGTGGGGTTTTTTTTGTAGCGGAAGTTGTCTGATAAAAAATTACAGGATATAGATAGGAAATTACTTTCAAAAATCTATCTCGTTTGAAAGTCATGTCTTCATCTAAAGCTATTGATCAAAATGCAGTGTTTAAATGCTGTCAATTTAAGGCATGTTTTAAGATGTTGCTGAAATTTAATTGTGAAAAGTAGAACACAGGAGCTCGTGAGTTTAATGTACTTACATACATCTTAAGAAATAAATTAAAACTTAGCTGACTGAAGAATAATCTATTTCTTAACATTAATAATAACGTACTGCCTGACATCTAAGCTTAGTAGGTTTTTAAATTTTATATTTCTACTTTAGCCCTGTGAGACAATTATGGTTGAGAAAGCATTTGTGCTGTAATTCCTTGTTTTCAGATACTTAAGTGAATGGGATTTAGAGGAGAGGAAGGAGGGGCTGAGAGACCTTGTACTTCAGCCATTTCTTCTTTGGCCTGGTGGTTAGATCTGGCTTTAGTAGGTTTCTTTGGTCTCTTTGCATGACAGTATTGTACAAAGTTTTTTCTCTATTTAAGACTGGTATACTTGTATTGAAACAAAAAAGATTTGGGAGGAGCAGAACTCTACAACTTCTCAAGACTTCCATTCTGTCATTGATTTACTTTTTTAGGGTAGAGATGCATCTCAGACATTCTAAATAGTCTGTTTTAGGACCAGTTCAAAGGATAGAAACTTCTCTACTGCATGTGCTAGGTGAAAAATCCTAAAATACCTTGAACTTTTAGAAACTTATGGGTACTTTGAGTTACTGAAATATGCATGTGCATTGAGCATATGCTTGGCCTACAAAGAATTGTCTGCTGTGGACAGCACACTAAGTATGGAGACATAGTAACCAGATGCTCAACACTCTGGTAAGGAACTTCAAGGCTGGTGGATACATCCTTATAGGCCAGTCTCTGACCTTCCTGTGCAATACTTCATAGAATCATAAAATGTTGTGAGTTGAAAGGGACCCACAAGGATCATCAAGTCCAACTCTTGCCCCAGCATAGGACAATTGCAAGATTCAGGCCATTACTTGACAGTGTTGTCAGGAAGAAAAGAGACTCTCTGCTTTCTTGGGAAGTCTTCTGATCAGTGTCACACTTGCAGAATATTTGGACATTACTTGAAATACACCTGAAGAAGTCACCTGAGCCACAAGTCACATTCTGTGCCAGGCTCAGTGCAATCTGCATTCACTAGGCAAGCTTCAAAACCACAAAACAGACTGAAGTCTGAAGAATTTATTCAGAGTTTAAACGCTTCTCTCTGTTCAGACCTTAACCAGGACTCAGGCTTGAAGAGACCTCTTATGTATTTTGACCAATTACTTTCTGTGTTTCTGTTTTCCCACTGTTTTGACTGTATATTGCTAAATTATATTGATATGAATAAAATAATTTTTCATTTTCTAAATATCCTGGAAATTCATTGGGTAAACCTACTACAGCAATGCTCAGATTCCCTCTGAAAACCTCTCTTGCCACTAGAGCACTTAAATATATGGTTAGCTGCAAAAATGTACTTGAGTGACCAAGTTTTTTCTGAAAATTTATCAACTGCTTTTATGCTTTGATAATTGAGGCCTTGATAGCAGGAAAGGGCACAAGCAACAGCTCCTTATTCAAGGTGAGAAGACTGCATGCAAAAAGCTGTTTATGTTGCTCCCACTACGTTCTCTTCCCCCTTCTCCATGGGAAGGAGATGGAGACTTTGGGGTGCCTTTTCTCTGCTTCCTGAAAAGGTTAAGTCAGTCACTACAGCAGACAGCTAATGATTTGTTCATAGCTGTTAGACTAACTGAAGACAAGTAAAAATCACATGGTGTGTGATTTAATTGGCAATAAATGACACATGCACCAGATACCAGAAATCTGTGATGTGCAGTTTAAAATTCAACATGCACAGTCTTCAGGCCTGTTTAAACTCAAGCGTATCTCTGGATCAGTGGCTTGATGTTACATGCAAATAATCTGCTAGATGGACTCGCAAAATAATTCTATACATTATATTTATGCTTTATAAAACACAGTGGTTTTCCTTCAAACATGTACAGAGCAACTGTTACATGAGATTTTGTTCACATGTTAGTACAGTCTCAATTTAACAGATTTCAAGATGGGCCTGCAGTATTTTGCCTAAATTAGCCAAAAAACAGCTCCTACCATGAAGATACGGTACATTTGCAGATTGTTGCAAAATGTGACTGATAACACATGCTTGCTGTACAAAATGTGGATGAAGGTTTGTTCAGTCTTGTCTTGAATTCATAAACTCTAATTCTCAGAATCTTTTTGATAAGCATAGGAGAATCAGATTACACTAGGAAACTGAATGGACCACTAGAAGATTTGGGTCAAATTTGAAAACCTAGGCTTTTCTTAATAATTTTGCTGAAATCAGAGAGCAAGTACGACATTCCCTGTCTTCTGTATCGATGGCGCACTACAATAAAAAGAGCAAATCTATTATTGAGAGGTGTAACATAAGCTCAGATAACTGAAGAATGTTTGACACACTATTTATGCCTTTTGAATGAAAAACTTTGCCCACTGAAATTGTTACAATAGTAAAATATCTTCTTCCACTGTTTGAGTACGGCAGAAAAAGATGTCTTAAGGGAGTTTGTGGATTTTTTTTTTTTTTTTTTAAGTTTTAGTTGCTGTACATTCCTCTTTCTTTAAAAATCCACACAGGATTATGTTGGTGCAAATAACAATTAGTTTGCTTCTCCCTATTTACTAGTCCTTTGCTGTCTTTACTATAGAGCTATTTTTCATAATTTACGCTTTTTTTTTGAGATTCTGCAGAATCTAAGGTGCTGGGAAGTATACATGTAGGTTTATATTTCCAGGAATTTATGGAGGGAGAATTAATCCAATTAATGTACACAGTAGAGGACGCTATGAATAATGAAAAAAGTTGACACAAGATATTTTTTAATTACTTCTAAAATAAAAATACTTTTTCAGTGCCTACATACATTCAGTAGATAACAGTGGCTTTTTGGATTAAACCTTCAAATGAATCATTTAAAAAAGCAAGAGCTTTAGGCATACTTCAGTGACCTTTATTTTTAACCAGAATCTCACTTTACCTCATTTCAGAGGCATGTATTTCCTAATACTTAATAAAGTCTAATACTGGATTTTGTGTGTTTAATTTGCACTTGCTTGTCTAATGCAAAAGCCCTTATCTTGGATCGGGACTCCCTGTCTTTTTTCACTAGGTTGTCCTGAGTGCAGTATCCCTTCACATTGGACTAATAACTATATGAAATTTCTAGCAAAACTCTATAAATAATGCTTCAAAGTGGTACAAGAAAACTATCACTACTCTACTTTCACCATTTGAGCACTATGGGACCAAATTTGAGGTAGCTGTGAGAAAGCCTGAAGTATTTTATCTTTGTATAATTTATTTTGGTAGAAACACAGAAGTGCTTTTTTTACTAACTTGTTTAATAGAAGCAGTGACCAGTTGTTTACTGTGATTCTCATTTTTTTTGTTCTAAGCTCAAAGTAAGAGATGTAAGACTGAAGTCAGTGCCGTGAAAAATGTACGGAGGGAATGTCATGTTCAGTGGCTTTAAAAATTACTCTTGCCTATTGTCCCATGTTAATTCAACTGGAAAATCAAGACCATAAGTTACTGGCAAAGACAATATTGTCATTATTATTTTTGGAAGATGATCTGTCTATAGATTGGACTACATGGACTGTCTGGAATTCATGAATATGCCGAGTTGTCCCCAATGCAACATAATTCATCATTGAAGTAAAACAAGTAGGAAACGATCCTTGTAAAAGTAAAGACCATTCACAGGAAAGGCAGTTAACTTACACTGTCAACAGCTGAAATCACAGCACCTCTTTTTTACTTCTTTTTCTTTTTTTCTTTTTCTCCAAATAGACCAAAAAGAAGACATGGTCTCTAACCTTTGGGATTTTTTTCCTAATTTAATTTTTGAAGTACAGCTGTTTTTGTGACTTATCTTGTGTATGTAGGAGGAAGGCTTCTGAGGGAAGCAATGACACTTAATACAAATCTTAAATGATAAGATACTAACTTTAAATTAGAGCTGCTTAGTTTTATGTGTTTCTAAAAAAAAAAAAATCTGTGGAAAGATACTGAATGATTATGAAGAGGCTTGAAACTAGGAGTAGCACTCAGTAGCAGCTCCTGGACTAGGACTAAAGGGGGAATGATCAAAATTGAAACAATGCTACTGGAAGAACCCTTCTTACTGTGCGGATTTGGAATGAATGAGACAACGTTCTCTGTCAGCACTAGGTGACTTCTTTCTCAACTTAGACCTTTGACAGTAGGTATATAAATATTTCTAGACCTTCTTGTCCTCATTAGCTTAGTCAGCTCACTAGATTGGCTGAAAAGTTTACTGTCCATAACCTTCAGTTTATAGAAGTTGCATCTTTATTCAGTCTGTCTTCAAATTAAGATTGACTCGATATAACTCCTTCCACGGCCCATGTTTTGGAGTGTTTGGTTATCCGCTATAGTAAGTTAGCAGCTCGAATCTATTGGTTGTTTTATCATGCCTTGATGTTGTCCACTGTGTTACTCCATCTTTACTTGAAAAAATTTATTATAAGCTAGATCATGAATTTATCATTAAGTGTGTCAGCGGTTGCTTACCCTTTAGATAAAGCACAGTAATGGTACATACAGACCTAACTTACTCTGGCAAATTGCAGCACGGTTTATGGATTTGAGGAATGCTGGTAACCTCAGATAAGAGAAGACGTATAGTTTTGCTTCCAAGTTGATTATTTCTCTTGAGTTTGGAGAATTAATAAATACTCAGATATGCCTTTGTTTATCCTGGAATTTCTCAGGAAACTTACTGATCTTCTCAACAACAGTCAATAAAAGCCTTCTCTGTAAATAGTATACTACAAAATTACAGTATTTAGTGATTGGTCTTTCATTCATGTTTTGATTTCAGAGATCTCATTCAGAGTTTGGCAATGTGGTGGGAGCCTAGAAATCATCCCTTGCAGCAGAGTGGGCCACGTATTCCGCAAACAGCATCCTTACACGTTTCCTGGTGGGAGTGGGACTGTGTTTGCAAGGTAACTTGTCTGACAAGTCTTCAGCTAAATAGCAATGTTTTGGATTTCTTCAGATGATCAGCAGGTGGCAGTAATTTCATTTTAAGGATCTTTTCTTTAGAAATACTTGCAATATTATCTAGCATGGAAAAATATTAATTAAAAGGAAATTAATCTCTTTGAGGCAACTATACAGATTGAGAGAAGAACCTGAGAGTTAAAAATGGGAAACTTCTAGTAGACACAGCCTGAGAATCTGTAAAAGAAGGAAATGCTTGGATGGGCATTCTATCAATTTTGAGAACTTGGTGTTTATTTGGTTTTAAAGGACGCTTTATTTTCAGAACTATTGCATAAATCTTCATTTTATAGAAACAGTTTTATCATTCACTACAAGCCAGAATACATTTAAGCAATGAATATGTCTTGCTTGCTTTTTTTTGTTAATACATGCTTGGTATGTGATATACAAATGGTTATGTAGACTGATTCTGGCATTTGTGCCATTCATTCTATATCATATTTGCCTTTCCTGTGCTATGTTTAAAAATGCTTTTTCTATAGACCTAAGAATCTACAGTATTTAGGGCTTAGATTAGTATGTCTGTTAATTTTGCTGTTGATTCAATGTATAGATAGTGTTAGCTGAAATACTGAGCTATTTCCTCAGTTTCTTCTCTGTAGAATGAGAAGAGGAATTCTGATCCATGTTCAGAGTGGTTTTTAAGTAATGTGGGTGAAGGTATTGCATGAGTGTATGATAGACATTTTGACCAAGGCTCTGTCAGTTGTGGCTGAAGAATCGCTGCAGGTTTTGGTTTAGAGAATTGGAATTGATGCTCAGGGGGCTGAAGAAGTACAGAGACTTAGCTAAAGGTTCTGTGGGTTAAAAACTGCAAATAAAATTGTTTATTTATCTTTGAAGGGATATGGAACCCAAACTCTTTTTAACATGAAACAACACAGAGAGCAGAGATGTACATAAATTCGTAAGAATGTTCTAACCTGCCAATATATTTGGACTTGTGTTTCACCTTAGATTGAGGAACTTCCTTAGGGGTATAATTCTTCTCTTCCATGCTGGTTATACCACCAAGTTTACTCTAATGAATTGAATAGTCTGCTAAAATAAAGTCACTGTCCTTTCTCTTCCAGTAGTTACAGTAGGGATTTTTCTGGTCCCCTGTTCTTTGACATCTATATTTCATTCTACAGTGAAAAATTAATAATAGTACTTATTAAAACTATAGGGAAAACAAAAGCTAGTAATGAAATATCCTCTCTTAATACATCACATCTCCATTCCAGTATTACTAGTGTGCATCAGGAGGGCAAAAGTATCCACCAATTAAACTGTATTATGTAGGCAACTGTTTTAGTTTCACAATAGGCTTTAAAATGACAATGTCATAACAAGGAGTATGGCTAATAAAAACAAACAAACATATAAATAGTGCAGTTTTTGCATTCCTCTGCAACTTTTCTATCTTAGGGCTGTTGCCAAGGTGCTGCTTTTCCTGAGATGTTAGATAGATACTTAAACATAGCTCAACTGAAATGTCAGAAGAGAGTGTACCTGTATGCAGGCAAGGATACAGCAGACATCAGACATGCATTGTATTAGCAGGGGTTGAAGATTCTGTGTTCATACTGGGACTAAAGCTTTTGGATTTTGCTGTGAAGTCAAATCATCATTGTGATTTGATCACTCAAATGTCCTGACAATTACTATGACAGGGTTTTTTAAAAATAGCATTGTGTTTTCCAGTTGTTTGTGTTCAAAATGACTTTGATAAGAGATCCTGCATGTACTTGAATTGGTGGGGACAGCTGAAGCCTGCAAACTGACATCTTGGGTACTTGCATCCCTTTCCAGTTCTAGCTTTCTCTGCAAGTGGTTTATTACCTTTGTCCTTAGCTGTCCAGCTGTCTCAAATTCTGATATGTCCTTAAAATTCTTTATTTCATTGGAATGATTTTTGAATTGACCTAGAAAAGTTGCATACCACTTAAAAGCAGGGTTGACAAGTTGCTGTATATTTGAAGGCTTCTTCCTCAGCCAGCTTTCTTGGGTGTCAGATATAACAATGCTTTAAAATCAATTTTAGCAATGAGAGAATGAGAAACGGAAGTTAATGGGATACCCTTGTAATACAGGTGTTATCAGATACGTGTAGGACCCTGGTGCCAAGAAACTTTAGACGAGCTGATAAACCTTGCAGACCCCAGTCTGCTCCATGTGAAGCTACCTCTGACTGCTCAGTGCTAGGTTTCCTTAACTGTGGCTCAGCAGTAAGCACTGAGGGCACCCTACGCTGTGTTTGTAGTACCCTGCCTTCTTTGGGGTCTTGGAAATTTAGGCAGTTCTCAGCACCTATGCACTTTCCATATTCATGTCACACTAAGCCTGAACTGCCCATCCTTGAGTATGAGGAAGCATGATGCAGGGATGCATTATGGCTTTGAAAGTGCCTTTGGTGTCCTTAAACCCTGGCAAAAGGAATAGTTCCTCTCCTGTCACCAAAACCTATTTGGCCTGTGGGCAGCCAAAGCTGATTGCTGAGCAAGCAACAGGGGCAGGTGCTGAGTGGCTGACTGATGCTCACGCAGGCCAGAGAGACTGCAAGTGATGATAAACTGAAATAGCTCTCTAATCTGGATTGAAGGAGATTTTGCTTACAAAAAAAATAAAGGAATCTTTGCAAGGAAAAATCAATCCTCAAACAAAAAGTGATTGAAGTCTGTCTTGTGAATTTTTTCTTCTTCACATCCTTCCTTCTCAGTGACCTTCAAGAAGAACTCACTTTATCCTGACTGTTTTTTGTCTTTTGAATTGGAAAAATCATATTAAAGAAGTTATGGGCTGACTGACTTTGCTCCAGTTGCTTTAGATGAACTTACTGCCAAATGTAGAATAAGCTTCAGACCATGGCAGCTGCAAGTGAAATAAGACTTAATTTTCTAAGCATAAAATTATAAACAATAGAAGTAAATGAGTTTTACATGGAAGCCAGGGGATGGAAAAAGACATTACTCTTTTGCAGTCCAAAAGGAGATTTAAAGACACCAGTTACATAAGTACAAGAATTTTAATTGGAGATGTGTTTGATTGGAAAGAAAGAATTTGGGGTAGTGTTTTTCACATTTATTGCAATAATTAATCTTTCTTTAATTTTAAAGCATTAAAAGTATTCTTAAATTACTGTTTCTCCTCTATTACCTCAGCTACAGCAGACTTGCTTGGTTCAGAGCTTTAAATGTTATGACAGCTTATGTCTTTTTGGAACTTTGAGTGCTCTGTTGGTAGGAATAGAATGAAGATTGAAAAGGTCTTGCCTATGTTAGCATATCTGTTTTCAGAAAGGTAAAAGACATTAAATATTGCAAATTGTTGAGATTTTTATGTTTCCAATTAGCTTGCTTATCCAGGTGAACATTCTGCTGATGAATTTGGCTTCTGTCAAGTTATTCTTGGGGGGGGAAAAACAAACAAACAACAACTTAAGAACTTCCATGAAATAACTCCAAGATGTGCATTAAATTCTGGATGAAAACCTGAAGTAGTGATGAGTCTGGAAAAGACATCAATTTCATTCTAAATGTATTGATTTTGGTTATGTTACTCTCTAGTGGTTTTCTATTACTTGGATCTTTAATGGGGAATCTTCTGCCTGACTTGAGACAGCTGACTACTGTAGTAGTAGGAAGGATTTAAATCAACCCAAGAATAAATGACATCATTTAATTGCAGCTAGAAAAAAATATAACCTATGTATTTCATGTGATTGTCCCTAGAAATACACGCAGGGCAGCAGAAGTCTGGATGGATGAGTATAAAAATTTCTATTACGCAGCAGTGCCTTCAGCCAGGAATGTACCTTATGGCAAGTAAGTCACAAGTGCTTCTTTGCCCTTTATTTATTCTTCATGCAACAGCACCTTCTGAGGTGAAAGCAGTGCTAGCTCTCATGTGTTATCTCTTCAAGATACAGTTCTACATTTTTTGAATTTTCTCTGTATTCCTTCACATACATGAAGACAGCAGCCTGACTTTGCAAACTGCTCCTTTTTTTCCCCCTCTAGTATTCAAAGCCGAATGGAACTCAGAAGGAGACTTAGCTGCAAACCCTTCAAGTGGTATCTTGAAAATGTTTATCCTGAGTTACGGTGAGTTTTGGCTGAATCAGAGATCGTACAGAATTCTCTGTGCACTGTTCTGTATCCTCTTGTCCCTTTAAAGCTTTTGCCTTCACCTAAGCAGGTGCCTAGTTGAGTGAGGAGACTGAATCTCAGCACAGTATGAGTAATGGGAGTCAGCAGACAAGAGAGCCTTGTATGTTTGATGGACGAGTGTAGATGCCTAAGACTCTTAAGAAGATGAGTCTTCTGGTCTTGTTCTCTATCACTGGATAATCACTAGCTTTTGCAGCGAGTGAGAAAAGGAAAATGAGGGGTAACTACTAACAGTTTCTGTAACATGACTGTAACCTAACTAATGAAAAATCTTCAAAGAGAAGCAGTTATCACTTTTTGAAAGGATAAAAAGGTTTTTGTTCAATAACCTGTTATAAGAATGTCTGTCAGATCGGAGTCTATAAACTAGTTTGTGTGCTGTTAACCTAATATTAGTAGCGTAATGGTGAGGTACTGTGTGTGGCTTATAAGAATACTTTTTTTTTCCCTGGGGGCCCTTTATGTCAGTAGAGTCAGGTAACTGCTAGTGGCATGCAGGCTTGGAATGCAAAAGCACCAGCCATTACAGTCCTAGTGAAACATGTACGGAACCACACATACTAAAGTGTCTCATAAACCAGGATGATGCTGAGGAAGTAAGTTATTCTTTATTTTCTCTTAAAAGTGCCAGAGGATATTTATTTGTATTTAATTTGTCAGAAAAAATACATCTTGCAATATCTCCTGGAAAATGTGCTACCATAAATGTTACTTAAGTGTAATGTTGTCTTAGTCTGTGTCATCTTTCATGTGCTCATTCTGCTGGCTTAAATTATTATACTCATTTTATAGTCTGAAGTTTTAAAATGAGCTAATATGCCCTTGCTTTACTGCTTGAGATGAACTCATCTCTACCCCACAACTGTACTTTGTTGAATGGGTTTGCCTAGATATTTCCATACTATATGAGCATACTTCATGTGCAACCATTAAAAAATAGGTATCAGCAAAACATTGGGGTTTGTTTGTTTGTTTTGGGGTTTTTTGTTTGTTTGTTTTAATTCCTAACCCCTTTTCTAACACTTGTTAAAGTCTGGGAAAAATGTAGAATGTCATATTTCTGCCACAAGCTAGCTTGACTGAAAAAACAAGAGGGCTTGATGACCTTAACTGATAGCATTAAACTTGAGTGACCTTTAATGGCGATGTTAAGTCTCTTTTCATTTGTTTTTTCTGTTGAGTTTGTATGTTCATCCTCATTCTCTGGTTCAAGTCTTTTTGTATTGTGTCCTATGCTTGCAAGTTTACTCATGTTTGATCAGTTCATGATCAGATAATTGCCTTCCTTCCTCAGAAGATGATTGAGATTTCTAGATAGTAGTCTTCACTCATCTTTAATCTGTCATCTTAAATACACTTTGAGTAGAGACAAGGAGTTAAAAAAAAACCAAAAAACAAACCAAACTAAAGAAGCTGAATTAAGCAGATATTTCTGGTTTTATTTTAGGGTACCTGATCATCAAGATATAGCTTTTGGGGCTTTGCAGCAGGGTACCAATTGCCTTGACACTTTGGGCCATTTTGCAGATGGTGTTGTTGGAGTTTATGAATGTCATAATGCTGGAGGAAACCAGGTCTGTATGCCATTAGTTTTTCTTCCACAATATGTGATTTTAAAATAAATAAATAAATGTGAAACTTTTTTACTCAATCACGTGCTGTGTACTGGTGATAGATAGAAAGATGAAGCCAAATCAGCGGATTAGTTATTATAACAGATTGGCTAAATAACTTCTCCTTCAAATACAATTTTGGATTTTCAGGATTAGAATTTGAGCCCAGAGATTCATTCAGGGTGCATCAGATTATCCTCTTCCTTTGTATCTATTAATATTTGCTTTTATACCAGAGGCTAGTAATTTCTTTCCCAGGAGTTTTATACTTTATAGAAAGCTTTTTTCAATGAATTGGTGTGTTTGGTTTCTTGGGGTGATTTTCTACTTAAGAAAAGATTTGGGTTGTGTTAAGCATACAGCCCGAGGTCAGCAAAATAGAATGCTTTACTGTGATGCCCTATCAGTCATTTCCAATTTGTGGTAGCAGGGTATTAAAAAAAAAAATAATTTTTTTTTTTAAATCTGTCTTAAATCCCAGTTTGGCTCCTGTAGAAAACAGAGGTGCCCAAAGGTGAGATCCTATTCACTCACAGTAAAGAAAGTGTTTCAACAAATCCTTTCTAGTCCTACTCTTAAACTAATTGCAAATGTGTCAAATCTGTAAATGAGAGCATTAATTATTTCAAAGCATGTATTTATGCAGTTGTGACTTAGTTATGGTTCACAAAATATGTGCATATGTGCTCACTGTTTTGTGTGCTGCTTTGTCACCGAATATTGTGGAGATCTCCTATAATTTGAAGAGTGTAGTCTGGTTTATGCTCAATACAACTTAAAATGCAAAATTTAAGTCAAAATGGGATTCTGGCCTGCCACCTCCCTGCATTTGATGGAATTCAGTGATCAAAAAGGTAGATGTGCACCTCTAAACAGCTGAAGAAGTTGTGGTGTATTTGACAATTAGGTACAAATATGTAGGGTTATGATAAGGAGCTAAAGGTAAAGCCAAATGCACTTGGGTGCAAGGAGAAGGTTTCAGGTTAGTAGTGTTCTGCTAACCTGGTATTTCTGATTTATGACACAAGCTTTTTCAGATGCCCTGATTTTCAAATTGTTTTGCAGAGCTGTCCTGTTGCCAGCATGTGCCCTGAGCACATATACTGCTTGCAGTTTTTCTTAGCTTCTGGTGTAGTGGAACTTGCTTAATCTTATCTCTATTATAGCTAGTCATAGTTCCTGATCACTAGAGGAAAGGATCTCTATTCTATGTTTCATACCATGAAGAACCATCACATAGATGTCTCCAGCAGCAAAGTTGGGAGCTCTTGTGAAGCAGTGCCTTTGGTTTTTAAATATGTGAATTTCTTGTGTGATTTCTGTTGTGTGGGGCTCTTGCAGTCTTTTGATGGAAGGGTGAAGATGTATAAAGCAGTATTTTCAAGGCTTTAACTTTCTCTGGTTGCAGGTTCTCAAATATAGGCTTTACTGTTTCCCTGGTAGTATTGTCAACTGTCACTTATCAGTATATATCTTATAAGGGGGGCACCTTTTTCAGGGGTGTTTGTGATTCCTGATAAGCTCTGAAAATAAATTAATTCCTTAAGTTGTTAAAAGTGGCTATTAATGATTCTTGTTGACATCTTATGAACTGGACAGAACTGAAGAGGCAAGTAATTTTGCTGTCATCCAAGAATAACATAGTGGAAAATATTTTACATCTTGAGAGTGAAAGGCAAAGTTTTCAGCTTACAGGTTTGTGAAACACGTGAAGGGATACACAGAGTTCTGCCTTTGTTTGCATAGCTGTCATTATCCTAGAACTTGCATAATATGGTACCCATCTGATGGCTTGCTACCTGTACTATGGCAATTACTTGTAATCGTGTGGGATAGAAGTTCTGATTGTTTCCTGAGCATCTGTTCGCAAAGGAATTTAATAATTTTTAAATCTGCTGAGTTTAAAAGTGATTATGAAAGCCAAAAATTCAGTTATGGTATCAGAAAATAAGTAAAAAAAAAAAAAAGGGGGGGGGGGATGAGATTAGTAATTTAATTTATTTCTGAAACACACATTGCTTGCAAAATAACATTTAAATGCAGCCAGGCTTGGCTCTGTTTATCTAGGGTTTTGTATTACACAACTCTGAATCCTCTTTAGTTGCTGGAGGAAAGCTAATCATGCCTTTTTAAGTAGCGACAAGCATGATTTGGATAATTAGCGTGGCTTTAGTTGATAGATCAGCTTCCTTCCTCAATGGATAATTAGACAAATGTAGATCAATCTGGATCCTGGAGACTAAACTTTGGGCAGAAAGGCATGGAGAGAATCTGCATATCAGTGCAAGATCAGGCCCTGTGTAGAAGAATGCTGAGATCAAACAGGCTGGACAACAGTACATACAAAATGGCTTTTCTTTGCTGTCTATTTAAGAATTTGCATATTTAAATGCATTTAAAAGAAATTCTGTTGTATATCACGCCTTGGATAGGAACATTCTCCCTCTGCCCTTGAGTTTGGCCCACTTGCTTGCTGGTGGTCTCTGTCAGATTAAGAACTACTGCTTCCTCACTGTGGTACATACGCTTTGTTTAGTGTGTGGGTAGGGTGGCCAGTGATGCTGCAGCCCAAGCTTTCAGGGTTTTTATATATATATAATTTTATATGTATAAATCTCTCCTACACAGAAGATAGAGGTGTGTAATACACACCCACAGACATACAGATAGATAGATAAAAATATAGCTGAACGAATATTTGGACAAGTTTTTTAAACCTGAGGACCTTTGTGAGTGTACACTGTCCTTTTGGGTAAAGCCAGCAGAGGGAGCAAACAGCCAGCCCGGCCCTGAGCTGGCTTGGGGATGCTGAGGCAATTGGGATTACTGTGTTTGAAAAAGACCTTTTTTCTTCTCCTGCTCTATGGGAAGCAATGAACTGTTTGAATGCTTATATGTAGCCACTTACAGGATTTTAACCTGTGCTATATATGCAAAGATAGCATATGAACCTTGTACATAAGTTAGCATACACAATCTTGTAAATTATTCTTCCTTTTTCTAGGAATGGGCCTTAACAAAGGACAAGTCGGTGAAACATATGGATTTGTGCCTTACTGTTGTGGACAGAGCACCTGGTTCACTAATAAAACTTCAGGGCTGTAGGGAGAATGACAGCAGACAGGTTAGTATGTCGCAAATGCACTCTGCAGCAGAGTGAAAACAAGGGTTGTGAATGAGAATGCAAGAACGTGCACTGGTGATCATATCTGCTTTCTGTTCTACTCTGCACTCTGTCTTGCTGCTGTTTGTGTGTGTAAAGTTAGGATGCATGACATCTGGGCAGGAATAAGCTTGTGTACTAAGCTTTTATTTTCATGGGCCAGTAACAATCTGTTATGATTATATACATAAAGGTGTTAGCCCAGCACTGGCCTTCTCTAAAGGCTTCACCCAACAGCATTGGTGTGTAACAGTCTTCAGCTGCCACATCTCATTTCTGAAATAGAATATATTTATATTCCACAATGTATTTTTCAAAAGGTCGTCTTCAGTGAAGTTTGAAGATTATATAGCCTGTGTCTCAGAAGAGTGTGGTTTGTCTTTCCTTTCTTCTTTGCAGCTGTGACCTGTTTATAACACTAGACTCCTTCAATGCATTTTTATTAATGCAGCATTGTGACTTCATCTGTTTCCCACACCTGAGGAAAATCACATTTGCAGTCACACCATCTTTTTGATCTAGTCATATAACAATTCATCTCTTTCTGCTAAGTCATCAGTTCTGATCGTCTGCCAGCTTCCTTGCTTCTATATCTCAATTTTAGCAGACAGGTAACTGAAATGCTGTTCCATGATGAAGGAAGAATATTTTTGCCACTTTTCAGAAAAGGGAAGCGAGATTTTCTTGACAAGGTTTAAAGACACAATATGATAGAAATACAGCAAAAAAAAAATCTTTTTCTTTTTTTTTTTTTTTTTTTAACATCCTGTATTTGGGATTTACTCTGTCCTTGACATCACCTTGGGCAAAGAGCTTCTGACAGCACAGACTAACCAGTTGCCTTCTGTATAACTGAAAGGTGGCTGACAGATTTCTGGATTTCTGTAAAGTTGTCTTTAGTGATTGTGCTTCTTGCTTCTCTGTGTTCAGAACTGTAGTGATAAGTGGATGGGTTTTGTGACTTTTATTTTTTTCTTCAGAATGAAGGTTTCACACAGGTAATGTGGTGTGACAGCATATTTGAGAAGTGCTGAAGTACAGGAAAATGATTTGGTGTATTCTGTACCTATTGCAGTGTGTTAGCTGAATGAACAGTTATTTTGGCAAGACTTGCCAGAACTTATATACTCTTATTAAAGGACCATCTAAACTGCCTACTATTATTGCAGTTTTCACAGCTTTCCCAAGCACGAGCCAGGGAAGCTTATGAAGACTTCAAAGGACAGGATGTAGAACTTGCACTTTTCCTGCTTTTCCAGCTCAGTAACTGTATTTTCTCTTGCAGAAATGGGAACAAATTGAAAGCAATTCTAAACTGAGGCACGTTGGCAGCAACCTCTGTCTAGACAGCCGAAATGCCAAAAATGGTGGTCTCATGGTTGAGATCTGCAGTCCTTCTTTGTCACAACAGTGGAAATTCACACTTAATCTGCAGCAGTAGAAGGACTTACAAGCAAAATGCTGTTTCGACTCATAGACGTTGGGCAAAGTTTTGATTGAATTACTGATGTATTTCTTAAAACTTTCCACGGAACTTATATACCTCAGTATTCCACCTTTATCTGAAAGTAGAGAGTGCTGAAGCAGACATGAGGGATCCAGGGACTTGGAGCACTGCAAAGATGTCGCTGAACATGACTGCAGCACAATTCCTTCTTGGTGTGAAGACTTCAATGGTTCCTTTCTGTCTTCAGTTACGTACTTGCACAGCAGATAATTAACTCTAGGAACAACTGATGTATCATAAAAAAAGGATCTGAAGAAACACCTGTGGGGAACAGGGTGTGGGAGGGGAGGGTGGGAAAAATTACTAGGAGAAGATCATTTGAAATCTCCATTTGCATAGAAATCACAATTTGTTGTTTCCAGAAACAGAAGTGTCATTTTGAAGGTTTTTTTTTTCTCCTGTGTGTCCTTGGTAATTTGAATATGAACTTTTCTATGATGGACTCTAAATATAAATATATAAAAGTCTATATATTGTCAGTTCCCAATGATTTATATCAGTTTTCATCATCCTATAATTATCAAGAAGTGATTGACATATGTATGACCAGAAATCGGATTGGAATGCTAGGAGAGCGAAACTTTATGAAGGTGCGGATTTTGTGCTGCTGAGTGTGATGTCCGTGCTAACACTGGATGCTTTTGCTTTGCAAACTGGATCTACTTCTTAACACTTCACCCTCACTGGAGATCATGAAACTCAGGAGGAGAAAGAAAATAGCAGAATAAGCTGATGCGTCTGCACAGATGATGGCTCAGATTGTTTATTCCAACTTGGAAATTAATTACACGTGCTCTGGATAATGTTAAACTTGTACTTGATATTTGTGTTGATCATTTCTGTAGTACTTTGTCTTTAAAATACTTCTTCCTTTGTTACAAAATTATATAAACAGTGCAGATCTTTCATGCAGCCATGTGGGTTCAGCACAGTTTTATTCTGGGCCCTAATGAGAAAAATTTATTTGTCTCAAACTCCCCCTTTGAGCTGTAGGAATAACATAGAATAGTAACGTCACTGACAGCACAACATCTGAATTTAATTTGCAAGGATAAGCAGCTATGTAATATCTCTGAATTGCACTTGCTTAATTTATAGACCTACTACTGGGGAATTTTCTTCCGTTTAATTTCTTTACATCGAGCTTTTGAATGGATTCAGGCTTGGCTCTGAGAATCAGCCTGGATACCAGCAGATCCTATGTGTTTTTAACCATAGAACCCGTGCATTTTGCAGCTTCAGTCCAGCTGACATCATTTTTATATTAAAATAATACTGTCAAAGTTAACTACAACTTTGACCTGTCCTTTCTTATGTTTGCATAGACTATATACTTTTTTATTAAAAGCAAATGCTTCAATGAGCTTTTAAACTGAAAAGGGAAGGTAAATAAGTATGAATAAGCGAGACAGCACTGACAAAAGTTAAGGCATGCAGTGCCAGGAAGTGGTTATGGTAGGATGATGGATCTCGGAAAAATGCAAAGTTTGATCATAAGGAGATGAAAAACATCTGCTGTACTGTCGTGTGCTGGTACTGTTCCCCTCTTTCTTTGTTCCTGAAAGTAGAGTAGTTCCTGACTTTTTCAGTTTCATTTGGCTGCATCTGTACATTAGGTATAGAGGTTGGTACTCTGGGCAAAATGGCTTTTGCTGTGGCAGCCAACGTGCCCATAAATACCTTGTGGGTCTGAAATTATGACTTGCAATTACCTGCATACCTTTTGGGTGGGGGCATTAAATCCAGTTTCTCCCATCCATCATCTGCCTTTTTTGTTAATAATTAATACTTTTTTTTTCTTCTTCTTCACAGTCTTACTTTCTCCAAAACTTGCCTGCTTTAGAGGCCATACAGTGAAAAAACTATTTTTCAGCTTTTAGTCTCTCCCTATCTGTAGCCTTTTAACCTAGCTGAGAATTTGAGGAACATGATTCATAAATGTAGCAGTAGATTTCTTCATATTCTGGAAAATAAATGCTGAAATACGGGCTCAGCAGCAAGTCAATTGTTTGAGGTTTTGAAAAACAGAATTTAAAAGGAAAAAAACCCCACCACTCAGCTTCTACCATGGAGGTATTTCCATTTGCAACTTTGATCATAGTAACGGTAGTACTAACTGAAATCAGCGGTTGCAACTCTGCATATTGACCTGCCTCTTACTAGCAATTCTGATTCAGAATTTAAAAAAAAAATCCATGCTCCACCTCTTAAGTCTTTTATGTCAACTGCTATCATATAAGGTAGGAATATTTTCCACTAATTCCCCATGGATGCTGTGCATAGGGGTTTTAATGTAGGAGCTGTATGTTAAAGACAGCGTTGCTTTTCCTTGAGAGAACAGACAAGAAGTGGTATCCTTTTGTTATGTTTACATGACAGTGTGCCAAAGTTACTTACTGTGATTTTAGGGGTTTTTAATGTTGAAGAAATTCACCCCTTTGAAAGATAAATTAAGAGCCCTTGGAGCAAATTGCGGTGAAGTCTCCTGAGAAGTTTTCTTACCGTCTTCAGAGCAAGAATGGTGATATTGTTTGTTTTGCAGATTTTCAAAACATAGTTTGGAAACTGTTTTTTCAGTTGGTTTGAAAAGTCTGCTGTACAGAGCTTGTACTTTGTTCATTTTATAGATGGAAACCATCCTTGAAAAATTGTTTAACTTAAATAAAGAAGAATGCTTTATAGATAAATGTGTGGTGGTTAATGTAACCGAGTAAAACCAAGAAGTCTGCCTGGCACTTGTAGAATGAAGTAGTTTTCAAATGCTTCTGTTCACTTGGTTATTTCAAAGCTGCTGTTCTAGAAGTGTGTATATGTGGGTGTAAGTCTTTGCATTTATGAAAAGAGAATTTGTTTGTATTTAAATTAATATGATAACTTCGAGGAAATTGTCTTATTTTAGAAGCTGCTTTACATTGAGGAGTGAGTTAACACTGACTGTAGTCACCTGAAAATATACTATTAAGGTACGTCCCTCCTGCCCCATTAGGCCAGCAGCTCTCAGAGTTGGTTGGGGTGCCTGGCCTCACCTGCTCATGTTGTCTTTCTGCTCTCTATGGTGCAAGGTAGTAATTCTCATGTCTCTGGTGCGCTTGAAGCTAGATCTTAAATACTGCATATTTAAAACAAAAACCAGAGGGGTTTTTGTTGTTGTTGTTTTTTAAGAAAGGTATTTTGAGGGGTAAACACTTCACAGGTCCAGTTTAGGGAGCCTGTCAATGAACTTATGCTGGCACAGCTGGGGAGGGAGCAAATTCCTTGGTAGGTGATGGACAGCTGTGAAGGTGAGATCCTCCTGCTGCTGTAAGAGTAAGTGAAGCTGCAGCCAGGGCATGGTGCTTGATGACAGCATCACCTTGGCAGAGGTGGGCTGCAAGTCAAACAGGTAGGGACAGTACAATGCTCTCCAGGAGGGTAAATGGGGAGCAGGAGAATGAATGAGGCAAAAAATCTCATCTGTGACGTTTTGTCCAGCTTCAGAAATGCCTCAAGTCAGTTCTTGGGGCACATCCTTCTTTCCTGCTCAGTGTCATACAGGACTAGGATCTTTGCTCCTGGTGTAGGATACTTAGCTGTTCAGTTAGCCCCAAGGACATGATCAGCTAGCATAACCTGCAGAAGCATTTATAGGAAAGATTTAAACACTTCTACCCTTTTTGGTTGTACAGACAGGAAGATTTTTACCTATTGGGCTGTAGGAAAGGAGAGTTCTTGGGTGCAAACCTACTCTGCCTGCGTGCCAGAGGTCAGTGATTAGTTGGCACCTTTCAGAAAGTCTGAATTAGATCAAGCAAATAGGTCTTTATGGTTGGCACAAATAAAAAGGCCCTGTCAAGCTGCAGTGAACAAAAGAAACAACCTTGCATTTGCAGATTTTATCTGAGAAATCAAGTGAGGATTGTCCGTATTAAATGCCCTTTGACACCTGTGAGCTGACAGGTAATACTAAAAGATAATTACAACAGGCTTCTGGTAGTAGAAGATTTTAATCTACTCCAATGTTAAATGTGGAAGTGTGTTTCTTATGTGTTTGCCTAGAGTCTTATATGTTTTCTGTGTGTACTGTTCTCAGTAAACTTCTTAGTATTATCAGGACTGAACAAACCTTCCAGCAAATCTTGCATTACTTCTACCAGGACTCCATTGTTTCCTTTGCCTTTTACCCAAGGATATAGATGAAACAGGGTTCCCATTCAGTGTCATTCATTTTCTGGAATTTCAGGTCATGCTCTTTAGCCAGTTTCTATGAATGTGTTTACTCTGCTTGCCTGACACTGTGCATAAAACCAGATATATTTATACTTGTTTTATAAGGGAACATTTAATCTTTGTGGATTAACATTTTTTAAATCCTGAACTTTCAAGAAGATGCCTGTGTGGATTTGGAAAGGAAGCTGAATATTGGGAGAGATTAAAAGGCTGTAATCTGCTTGAGGTAAGGACTGTTGTCTTGTTTAAAGTGGGTCCTATAGAGCATTGTCCAGTTCCTGTCTGGTGTGTTACTACCATAACTTTAGTTATTTTAAAATATTATGGTTTTGTATACAGATACCAATGTCTACTTTGCCTTACTTGGATATATACTAAATGTAGATACTGTATGTGGTCCTGAGTTGCATGCATGCATCACCTGTGTCCTCATTCAGCCTGAAATACTATGAATAATTTCATAAAAATAACTTGTTACAGAATGCTCTAGCAAGAGGCTTGTTCCTGTACAGAATGCTTTTGGATGAATAGAAACCACTGAAAAAAAATAGTCTGGGATAATAAGCCATGATTACAGAATGAGCTCAAATGTCAGGGTTGCATCTTTTGTTAGACTGCACATTTTATTTACAGTTTAACATCCAGTAGCTATTTTAAGATCTGCTAGTAATCAAGCTTAAAAACTGGGAATAAAGTCAATCCACAGATGTTCTCTAAGTACAGCCCTCCAAGAGGCTGTCTGAATGGGTGCAAAATACCCTTTTGATTTGATTGGATTTCTTGCAGCACGGCAGCATGTTACTCTCTATGCAGGAAGAGGGACCTGTTTGACTTCAAGTCCCTATTCTACCCAGCAGATATTTTTAATCCAAGGATTTTTGTTTGGTTGTTTTTTAATTAGAAAGGATCTAGAAGTAGCAAATACCTGTGTTTTCTGACATACCTCTATTAATTAAACCCCCCCTTTGGTAATCTGGGCATTGTGGTAAAAAGAGGATTAGAAAATGACTACCAAGAGTCTGTTGTGCTCTGGTTGCGTGGTGCTGAGCACTGTTTCTGCACAACGCTTTTCTCTTTAACTTTTGTGCCACCTCTCTTCCTGTCCGGCACATTGTTTCTGAAGTGGAGGTGAGGTGGATTCCCAGGTGGCAGCTCCCTGCTCAGCTGTGCCAGCCTATTCATTGCTGCTGAGGAGGAGAGGGATAGATGCTGATCCTGCCTCTCCTTCCTTGTGCTAACATTGGTGTCTGGTCCATCAGAGAATTAAGTTAATAAAGCTACAGGACAAAATTACTTTATTTTTTATTGTCTATCTTGAAGAGCTGAGTTGGCCTTTTGAAGGGTCTAGGGAGTTGGAGTTGGCACAAAGTGGCAGGTTTTCATAACCAGAAGCAGGGAGATGATGTTGAACTTCCTTCCCAGCTCCAGCACCAGTGAAACATAAAAGCAGCTTGTTCATCCTGTGGCAAGCATCTGCTTAAGGTTCTGCACCTCCCTGCTCATCACTGTGAGACTCCGGGTACAGTTTTGTCACTGTCCTCTGCTGATCTGTGAGCGAGCAGCAGTTAGAAGGAGCATTAGGAATGCCTCGTGGTGAGCCAGTGTGGGGTGTAAGGAAGGTTGGCAAAAAAAACCCCAAACAACCCCAAAACCATGGAAAACAGTAGCTGAAATCATTCAAGCTTGGCTTAACTAGACCATAAAATCAAACCTCTTGTTTTCATCAGAGTGCATGAGCTGAAGGATGTTCTGTTTTGCTTTCCAGTTGAAATGCCTTTAATAATAATAAAAATTATTATTATTATTACATATATCAGAACAGCCATGTTGCCGATATCCGAGTCTTAAGCCAGCAGTGCCTGTAGTGGCAAGAGAGGAGGGAGTGAGAGAGAGAGAGAGAGAGAGAAAAAGGGGTTTTTTAGTTGTATGAAGGTCTTGGTTTCAA